AAAAAAAAAAAAAAAAGTAAAGAGACAAGAAAATACATCTTCTGCTAGTTTAGAGAAGAGCCAGAAACTGGATGCAGACAGCTGACGATCCAGATACTACACCCAAGGACTTGAACGCAATTCTGATTACTTGATTAATAAAGAAAATAGAAGGGGGCAAGTTAGATAATGGGGTGGATAATGTAACAGAGAATTGGAATCTATACAGAGAGACATAACGAAGCATTGGCATGCACCTGTAGTCCCAGCTGCTCCGGAGGCTGAGACACGAGGATCACTTGAGCCCAGGAGTTCTAAGCCCTAGTGCGCTAGGCTGATCAGGTGTCTGCATGAAACTTTGGCATCAATACAGTGACCTCCTGGAGCAGGGAACCACCAGGTTGCCTAAAGAGTGGTGAACTGGCCCAGGTCAGAAATGGAGCAGGTCAAACCTCCCGTGCTGATCAATAGTGGGACTGCACATTACAATACAGTGTGAATAGCTGCTGCACTCCAGCCAGGACAACATAACAAGACACCACCTCTAAAGAAAAAGAAAGAGGGGAAGGAAAGAAAGGAAGGAAGAGATGGCATTCTAAAGCTGAGAAAATTCACAATTTGTCAATAAGGACACAGTAGATGGGTTTAATAGCAGATTAGACCCTGCAGAATACAGAGTAGTCAACTTCAGGGTAGCTCAATAGAAGAGACCCAAAGTAAAGCTCAGACAGGAAAAAAGAGGGGAAAAAACACAAGAAACAACAACAGAAAACCAGAAGACAGCATCAGAGACATGTGTAACAAACTCGAAAGGTCTAACATACATAATTAGAGTCCCCGAAAGAATAGAGAGAAGGGGCAGAAGCAATATTCAAAGAAGTCATGGCTAAACATTTCTCCAAATTCCAAAAGATGAAAAATCTCTGGCCACAGATTCAGCAAGAAAACTGCAAACAAAAAAACCACAAACATACCTGGGTATATATCATAGTGAAATTGCCAAAAACAAAGACAAAAAAATTGACAAGTAGGAAGAGAAAAAAGATATACTACTTTGAAACAAACATAAGATGGATAGCTGTCTTCTCACCAAACAAACAAAAACAATGGAAGCCAGCAGGCAGTGAAATGATGTATATTTAAACTGCTGAAGAAGGTCAGGTGCAGTGGCTCATGCCTGTAATCCCAGCATTTTGGGAGTCTGAAGCAGGCGGATCACTTGAAGCCAGGAGTTCAAGACCAGCCTGGCCAACATGGTGAAACCTCGTCTCTACTAAAAATTCAAAAATTAGCCAGGCATGGTGGTGCATCCCTGTAATCCCAGCTGAGACATGAGGATCCTTGAACCTGGGAGGCAGAGTTTGCAGTGAGCAGAGATCACACCACTGCTCTTCAGCCTGGGCAACAGAGTAAGACTTTGTCTCAA